CCTGTTGTCTGGAAATGACTCTCTACTGCCCAGCATTACCAGTCTAGGTCAGTCATGGGCAACAGGAATCAAAAAGCTAAGATGGAAATAAGGTAGTATATACATTGGTCCTGTTTTATCCTCAAGGCTACATAAAAACAGCATTATGTAAACATGATTGTGAATACATGGACTATACCCACAGAAAGAAAAACCTTTGTGTCAGAAAATTCTAAAAATTTTGTATGTATGTGTACCTGCTCAGAAATGTGCATTAGCTACAAGCACCCCGGATGTTTGTGATGTAGGCAAAATGTAGTAAGATGTCCGACTCATTGAACTGGTTACTACCATATACACACGATAGTCCAGGAGAACTGAGAAATTCAACCTCGGAAGACTTGAAACTACAAAGCATAACTAAGGCCCTATCTGATACTTCCGCTCATTCTGCTGGTTTACCTGAGACCTCTTCTTGAAGCCTCCCTGACTCACTGATGTTTCATTCCAAATCTTGGGGGAATATTTTGCTTCCTCATTTTCACTTCTGGTTGATCACATTAAATTTCTAGCCATAACTTGCTAAAGAATGAGGGGAAATATGGCTTCCTCCTCCCTTTTTTTTTTTTTTTTTTTATTTCTCTGTTAAGATTCTAGACCTGGTTCCTAAAATAAAAAGTCACCTGGATGGATATGTTTATAGGGACAATACTTGAAAAAAATAAATAAATAAAAAGTTGTGTAAGAGAAGTGGGAAGGGCACGAAGAAACGAGAAATACATCCTCACCATTAAAATTTCCATAAAGGCTCCTTCTTTGTAACAAAATGAACATAAGCTACTACATTTTCAAGTGAATGACAGCAGAGACTATTCTACTTGGAAGCACCTCATGCCTGAGAGAGGGCCTGGAGAACACAGCACAAGGAGGTCCTGTCCATGTGGAGAAGACGCACCATTTCATCTCATCAACTAACAAGTTATTTGCAGATAAAGGAACAGAACTTCCAGTGCTACAGGGTCACTAAACTGGTTGCTAAGTGGCAGGGCAGGGATTCAGACCCAGGTCTGTGTGATTCTAAAGCTGAGTTCTTTGCAGCCAATTATATGTAAAGCCCTTACAGCAGTCACTGGTCACTCTGGCTCACATCCTTTACTCTCCTGACAACATTTCATAAGACTCAAAATAGGTCAAAATTGTTACTTCTCCAATCAAGTTATTAAAAAGATAGGATATCTAACCAGTCACCATCTCTCAGGGTTTATCTAAAAGCTAAGTTACAAGTTCTCAAGTATATATGGAATGGCTTCATTCTCTTTAGGGCCAACAGATTAAGATAATTTATATTCAGAAATTACAAAACAAAGAGATTATGACAAATAGTGGACTTTGGTGGGCCGAGACTCGAAAGACCCCAGGAAATTCTTTAGACAGAATTCTTTCTAATAACAATTCAACCCTCTACTACAACACTCATTCCCAAACTCCATCCAAGCTTATGAAACAGGAAAGGAAAGCAAAAACCCAGCTACAGGCGATTTCATTTCAAACAGACCTGAATTCCGCAGTTGCTGTAAACGATTCATGTTCTGTGATTGAAAACACAAGCAGAAAACCTTCCCCGCTCCGAAAGTAGTTGTCTCGGATGGCTGCATAGTCCTCTTGCCCAGCTGTGTCCAGAATATCTATCTGGACTTCTTCTCCATCGAGAACCACTTTCTTTCTATAACTGTCAGCTTTGGTAGGTTCATAGTCTTCTACAAACTGAGAAGATACACATTAACAGTAATTAACCAAGTTATAAAGGGAATAAAGATGCCAAAAAGTAAACTTGAATATACAAGTACTTTGTCTAGAATCAATTAACTATTTATTTAGGGCTTAGAATTAGCACATTTATGTTAGGCACTATTAAATAAAAATAACTCCTTATGTAACACTTCTTTTCATGGTTGTTCTCAGTTCTATGATTTCTTGTTCTGTTTTTAAGCAGTAAGAGCAGATATTTCCACCTTACAGATCAGGAGATCAAGCACAGAGCAGAATATTTGGCAACATTATTGCCAGTATAAAATTCCAATACAAACACTGGTAAGGGTAAGAAACATGAGCTTCCATTCATATCAGCAGAAGTATGAAACATATCTAAAAAGTAATTTGGCAAGAAGTACCAAAAAGCTTACAGAACTATACAGTAAGATAAACTCCAAATGGGTCAAAGATTAAATGTAAAAAAGTACCCTCAAGGACTAGAAGAAAATGTGGGTGAAATCCTTTTATTACCTTGAAGTAGGGAAGGCCTTTTTAACTATGACTCAAAATCCAGAAGCCATGTAAGAAAAAATTGATAAATTACATAATGTTTTTTAAACTTCTGTATGGCACAACACACTATACACAAAGACAAATGACAAACAGGGAAAAAGTGAAGCCATATCACAAAAAGCACTCTAGTACATTGCTAGTAGAGAACAGTATGATCTTTATGGAGACAAGTAACAGCAACATCTAACAGAACGAGAAAAGCACTGATGCTCTGTCCCAATCAGAGGGACTTCTAGAAATCTAATACACAAAACACCTACTTATAAGGTACTACATGTAATGGCAAAAGATTAGAAAAACATCCAAATACCCAGCAATCAGTATCCACAAGAAGGAATATTATGCAGCTATAAAAAGAGAAGATAACTATGTCCAATATGTAAATGTAAACAGAATTTAAGTTTAATTTTTTTCTCAGGGAAAGCAGGGATAGTAAAAATGATAGATTTTTTTTTAAATCTAGCTCTCTTGATATTTGTGTGTGTTTATATATGTATGTTAGTCTATAGTTGCCAAAAAAGACATTCTGGAAGGATACAAAATAAAATACAAATTTACAAGCTGTTAAAACAGAAAAGCAGAAGCAAATGAATTTAAATAAACATTAAATTGGTAATGTAGCCAGACAGAGAAAGAATTAAGAAACTTTAGAACAGAATATTTAGAATGCATTCCACTAAGACTAAATTTCTAAAGAAATGCTAAACTCCCCTTGGTGATTATATTATTTAGAATAATGATATTACTATTTTAAAACCATTTTCCTTATATTGTATCATATGTCAAATAAGCAATTATCTTGATGCTACTAGTCAAAAACTCAGAAAAAATATAAATTGGTGATAATAATGTACTATTAGAATTAAGTTGATATTGGAATAACTGCAAAAGAATAAAAATTAGATCCCTACTTCACATCACATGCAAATATTAACTCAAAATGAATCAAAGTCCCAAATGTAAGTTAAAAATAAAAACTCGGAAAAAAAACCATAGATGTAAATCTTCTTGACTTTGGATTTGGCGATGTGTTTTTGTTTTTGTTTCGTTTTTAAGATTTATTTATTTATTCATACAGAACTGAGGTTACAGGCCAGAAGTGCAGGGGCAGTGAGAGGATTCACCAGAGACAAAGTGGGGAGCAGAACAGGCCAACTGTCAAAGTACACTGCTAAGGGGAGCAGTGGGTGGGTCAGAAGAGGTCTGCAGTGCTATGTGGGTCAGCTCTGGGGCCCGGGATGGAATTTATGCTGAAGTGGCTTTAGCTTCTTAGTGCTGCGCTTTAACCTGCTACGCCACGAGGGAGGGCTCTTGGCAATGTGTTCCTACACTGAAAGTCCAAACTAACAAAGGTAGATAAATTGGTTTTCCTCAAAATTTTAAACTTTCATGCTTCAAAGACACTCACTATCAAGAAAGTGAAAGTACAACCCACAGAATGGGAGAAAATATTTGTAAATCATATTTTTACTAAGGGATTTATATTTAGAACATATAAAGATCATACATCCTTTGTATGTTCAACAATACAAATAACCCAATTGGAAAATAGGCAAGGGGTCTGAATAGACATTTTCACCATAGAAGACAAACAGATTGCCAATAAGCACATGAAAAGATGCTCACCAGTACTAGTCATTAAGGAAGTTCAAATCAAATGAAAATGCAAGTCACACCCACTAGAATGCTATAATCAAAAACATGGACAATAACAAGTGTTGGTGAAGATGGGGAGAAATTGGAACATCACCCAGTGCTGGTAAGATTGTGAAATGACACAGCTATAGAGAACAGTTTTGAAGTTCCCCAAAAGCTAGAGTTACCATTTGACACAGCCAATTTTACATCTAGATATAAACCCAAGAGAATTTAAGACATGAGTTTACACAAAAACTCATGTTATGAATGTCCATAACAAAAATCTTATTCATGACAGCTAAAAAATAGAAATAATCCAAATGTCCATCAACTGATAAAAGGATAAACAAAATGTGGCAAAGCCAGGTAATGGAATATTATTCAATCATAAAAAAGGAATCAAGTATTAATCTACAATATGGATGAACCTTGATAAGTTATGGAAACAGAAAGTAGATGTGATATGGGTATAACTATAGTTATGGGTATAAATTTCCTCTTAGATGATGAAAATGTTCAGGGATCAAAAATGGTGATTGTTGTAAAACATTGCCAAATACTAAAAAATGAAATTGTAAAAGGATAAATTTTAAGATATGTGAATTATATCTCTCAGAAAAGGAATGAAGTTACTAATACATGCTACAAGATGGATAAACTTCTAAAGCATTATGCTAACTGAAGAAGCTGGACATAGCATAATATATAATGTGATTCTATTACTATGCAGAGTCCCAAATAGGCAAATCCATAAAGACAGAAAGTAATGGCTAGGGGCGTGGTGAGGGAGGAATATTGAGGAGAGTGAGAGAAAGAAATGTAAGTAGTAATGAGGAATGACTATAAATATAGGCATTCTTCGTAGGAGTGATGAAAATGTTCTAAAGTTGTCTAATGTGATGGTTGCACATCCATGTGAATACATTAAAAATCACTGAATTATACACTTTAAAGAGATGAATTTTATGGTATGTGAATTACAGCTTAATAAAGTTATCATTTAAATTGCTTTTAATTTAAAAATTGAATTGAAAATACCAGTATGACTTTATGGGCCCTTTGAGGAACTTTAAAAAGAGCCTTTTTTTTTTTTGTCAATTAAGAGCAACTAGTTCAAATAGTTTTAAATCTAAAAATAAAAATACAATTAGGTTCTCTTAAATTCACACTCATAATTACCTTAAAATGGAGAAAATGTGAAAACTTTCCTGTGCTTGACAACAGTATTCCTCTTTTAATTAACTCTTTCCAAAGAGACAAATGTGTGCTTGGGAAAAAAAAAAAAATCACCCAAAATAAATCTCTAAACACCATCACAAAGTATCTCAGTTGCTTCCTTTAGTTGTCAAGGGTAAAACTAGCAAGAGTCACTCTGACAACTTGGACACTAAAGTCACAATGTCCTGATATCACTGCATACATCTGTGCTAGCAGAAAGTGTGTTTATTATTAGAAGGTTAGATTATAAGTTTGAAATTTACGTTTTTCTGGAAGTAGGAAATCCCTGAAGTCTTGCTTTCCATTAACAATGAACCAAACCAGCAGCCTTACAGGGCTGTGTGTGATCCCATTTCAGATACTCGACACACACAAACCTAAGGCCAACTTCACACAGCCACCTTCTGACTGAGGGACATCTACACTGTATCTGCCAGACACTGATGTGGTTGCTGCCAAAATGTTATCCCATCTGGCCCTACATCAGAATCGCCAGCCAGCACAGCTTCGTAGTAAGAAAGTTTCCCAATCTAATTCACAAATTATTGTTTTTTTTTAATCTCCCAGACAATTCTACGATCAGCTAGTTTTGAAAAATCACTTCTAAGGCCTCTTCAAGCTCCAAAACTACAATAATTACAATTTTACAACTATACTTTCCAATATGGGCACCACTAGCCACATTCCCAGTGCTCAGCAGTCACAGTATGGGACCCTATAGATAGAATATTTTCATCATCCCAGAAGGCTCTAGAGTAAACAGCATTGTTTAGAGAAATCAAGGGCTCCCACAAGACAAACAACCTCACCCTATTCTTTTCTTCTGAGTTTATCATTTCTTCTATAACAGCCTTTCTAGTCCTTAAATGTATGCCCTAAGTAAAACAGACTAAGGTCAAGCATGACTTTGCCTTGTTCCTCTGATGAAACCAAGAAGGAAAAACTTTTGATTCCTTTTTCTACTCCCTCTCGCCATCAACATGCACAGAAACATCTATAATAAAAGTGGCAATGAAGACTAGATCCTCTTGGCCTCCTTGGTGTCTCCACTGTATCAAGTAAAAACAAAACTTGACCTTGGATTTGCATCTCAACCACCTACACTACAGAGGAATCTTTGTTCCTCAAATCAGCCACAGCTCTCTCAGCTCTTGTCAACAGCAACAATATTACCACTTCAGACTGGCTAATTCTTTCTCCTCACCCTCTCCTATGCTGGAGGATCCCTGGTTTCCATCCCTCAGATGTTAATGGTACCCTCCCCCAGAGTTGTGCCAACCCAAAATATCTCTTGACATTTGCCATTTTTTCCCTAGGGAGAGAAAATCCCCTTCCCTGATCTCCATTAACAAACTACTTCTCTAATACTATCTGCTTTATCTCAACTCCTCTCCTCTCTTCTTCCCCAGCTTCTGTGATAGAATACTGACAACATTTTAGTAAGCAAAGGTCAACAGATTTTTCAGAGCAAACCCTAAAACTTGCTTCTATTCTTTATGCAAAATGTATTGGGTAAATTAAGTGCTCTTTCCCCACTCTGGTCCCTACGAAAATATAAAAGAAAAGCAAGCCTTAAAACAAAAGCTCCTTCACTGTAAGATCTACAGGGGATACAATCCAGAAGAGGCTCAAGGTCTAGGTGAAGCTTACTTACTTCTTGGCCCCCTTCTAAGGGAAGAATACAAAATCACATGCATCACACTGGATATGTAAGTGAACCTCTAGTGTGGGAAATAATAATCCAATATAATTTCTTTAAATGGACAAAGGCTGTGGCATATGCCCTCTGGTGACCCTCGGGGCAACACACTCTGACTCCCCGCCCCTTGAGGGAAGAGGACCTGCAAGGGCTTCTTATCTATCCATTGAATATGGTGGTGTGAGTTCTCTGTGATTCAGTCCCTCACAGGAGAGGCTTTCCTGCTGGCCTTGAAGAAGCAAGCCATGTGGCATGAGCTGACTCTAGGTGCCGAAGGCCTCTGTCCCACCTCTGTAAGAAGCTCAACCCTGCCAGCACCTATTAGTTCAGAAGAGGATGCAGCCTCAGCTGAGCTCAAAGCCCTAGGTCACCTCCTGATGTAGTCTAGTGGGACCCTACATGAGGCATCCAGCCAATCTGAGCATACTCCTAACCCCTGGAAACTGCAGATAACAAATGTGTTCCTTTAAGCTGTTAAATTGTGGTAATTTGTCCTACAGCAATTGAAAACTCCTACAAACACCACTGACATCACGAAGTCCAAAAATGTGACATTATCTCTAGAATGCTTTTTTGTCTGCTATGTTTTTTTTTTATTATTATGTTGTTACATAGGAAAGGATTTCGAAATAGTCCCTACAGAGAATAGACTTTCCACTAGCACAAATGGTGCAAATTTTTCTCTTATAGACAAAGAAGATGATTTTTCAGCTTTGTGACTATAAGACATTATCAGTAGTGATAGCTGAAGGATTACTGTCAAATTTGGAAAACCTCTATCAAACTTCCCTCTAAGAAGCTCCAAGATCTGGAAGAACTTTCCAGACTAGTTTTTGGCACCAGATGTCTCTCCTCCACCACCCACACACTTTCCGTGCCAGGTGCCACAGGACACATTCGCACCAGGACACATTCGCACCAGGACACACCCCTGCCCTGCACTCACATCCCAGTGCCAGATGAGTCACAGTGGGCAGCAGGGCTATTGCTGGGGGCCACTCCTACATGGGACAGCTAGTAATAACTTGACTCCACACCACAGTGACTCCAAACCACACAAATATAGGCCACCTACCCCCAACTAGCTGCCTCCTCAATACAACTTCCCTGGGCTAGATCCCCAAATGCCATGGCCATCCCAATACCACTCAGCATCCAAGGAGGCTGAGGAAAAGGAAAGATTAGTGAAAGAGATAATGATCTTAACTAAATGTGATTTTGATGTCTTCCTACCACAATTTTTTTTTTAGTGTTTATCTTTTTTTCCTAATAATATGATAGCTTATTTCTATATCATTTTGTGCATTTTTCCATCTCAGTTGTAATCCCCTTGGGCTTCCCATCACCTAATTATCCATGTGCCATCACCATAGTCCAGTGCATTTCCCTTCCCCAGCTGTTTTTGACCCCATTCCCCACTCCACCCCACATAAAATGTCTCTGGTATATAGCTGTTCGTTATTATTATTATTTTCTTCCCTGGTCCGTTATGAGTGAAACCATCTGGTATTTTTCCGTTTTCTGACTTATTTCACTAAACATGATCTCTTCCAGCTCCATCCATGTTGCTGCAAAAGGCATGTGTTTATTTTTTTGGTCGCTGAGTAATATTCCATTGTGTATATGTATCACATCTTTTTATTTTTTTATT